CCTGGCTGGGAATGAACTGGGTGTGACTGATGGCTGCAGGCTTAAACACGCCGCTGGTGGTTTCTGCACCTTGGCTTTGCAGGGTCGTGCACTGCACCGCCAGTGCGTACCAGTTGTTTCACATCTGCAACAAAAATATAACATTTGTTAAATACTTCATATGTATAATATATAGCCACATAAATGTTTCCATGTGGTGTTTGCCGAAAGGGTGTTGGTGTAAACTCGATATTCTGTCCCCACTGTTGTCATCGGATACAGACTCCGGAAGATGGTGAACAGGCCTGGCTTCAAGGTAGGATGGCCATAGGATTCCTTTCGGCAGCCATCCCTGTCCCTGGGCTTCCTCGCTTCATCTACAGCATACCTAGGCAGACCACAGCGTTGAAGGGATGGAAAGAAGGAAAGAGCAGATGGGGGAGGAGGAGCAGGAAAGCAGTTGGAGGAAGGTTCTTCAACCATCTCAAAAGTCTGAGTGAGAACATCCATGAGAGAAAGGATCAAGGTCATCATTTGCATAATTATATAATTATATTATATAATTATATAAAGCCCAGCTGTGGTTAGTGTTTAGTATCAGGGCCAGAATACTGTAGCGTGAACCAGGAAAACCGATACGCACCTCTTGAACTCTGTTCAAAGACTCGCAATAGGACTGCATAGTGATAGTCTCGTTAGCTTCTGAATTGCAGGTTCTGAGTTGCACGGACTACCAGGACAGGTCACCGCAAGGCAGACCGGGAAGGAAATGCTACAGTCAGTGACACCTCTTCATCTTTTTTTCCTAAATGAATATTTTAGCTTAAGGCCACACCAATTTAATTTCTTGGTTAACGGATTCACCTCTTCATTTTTTTCCTGATTTGCAAAAAAAAAAATCAGAATCAACTGCAAAATGCTCATATTTTGCCCTGAACAGTTGAAAACAGTCCTTTTCTTCCTAGTTGTTACAGTTATTCCATCTTTCAATGCAGTGGTATTTTTAAAAGTCCAAAATTCATTGTTTAAATTTTGAACCAGCCTGGAGTGTTGACTTCATGGCTCCTATCATACCATTTTGGGCCATAGTAGGATGCCTACGCCTGTTTTTATTTTCATTTTTTTTTTTGCCCGCCTGCTCCATTATTTTTCTAGAAAAATCCGTTAACCAAGAAATTAAATTGGTGTGGCCTAATGAGAAATAATGTAGTAACATAATACTAGTATATGTGATGAGTGGAGTGTCCAACTGTTTTATTTCAACACCTGAAAATACTAATACAATGGAACAAAACAATCCGCATCATTCTGGACTCCAATAACTACTAGTAGTCATATATCAAAAATCAAAGAAGCCTACCAAGCCCACCGTGAGTTATAGCTGCGAACACACAAACACAACCGACAACAGAACCCTTCTGCGGAAGGATATCTCCTTCTACGGAAGTTAAAAATCAAATTAAATTGAATTGGTTGATGACACAATTACTTCATTTCACATTTCACTGTCCAGCCTGTTGACCACAAGGTCTCCTACTCCAACAGGCTGGACAGTGAAAAGTGAAATGAAGTAATTGTGTCATCAACCAATTCAATTCAATTTGATTGTTTTGTTCCATTGTATTAGTATTTTCAGGTGTTGAAATAAAACAGTTGGACACTCCTGTGGAGATCCCGGTGTGAAATGTACACAGACTATGACGTGAGTTTAATACCTTTGTCCTCTTCATCCGTCTACAGCTACCAGCACCACAGTTACCCCGGAAACCTGGGTAGAGTCTAGGAATTTAAAAAAAGCAATCGTAAATTAAGTAAGTCTGCTTGGAACGCTACTGTAGCTCTGCATGCTCCGCCAGTCCTGACATACCCCGGGACGCACTCGTCTTCATCTGCGATTTGGGAAGATCGAAATGTGTATGTTCTCATGTATATATATCCATCCGCTCTGGCCATGCAACACCTCTTCACCCAGGTCTCTCATTATACCCACTAAACTGGTGAAATCGACAAAACTTGACCAAAGTAGGAAAGTTTATATCCTACTTGTTCCTTCTTGTCTAAAAGTCTCCAAACTGGACCAAACTTTTCAAGAAAAAAATTTTACAACGATATCAACTCTTTCACCGCGCAACGCAATGGAATTTAGATAGAAAGTCAGACACTCACCCCAGCACATGTGACCAATTCCAATGACTAAGGTGGAATTGCACATTAAAGATGCAAGTGCACTTTTTGGTTTGACAGCTGTATCCTGACCAATGGGAGTAGCTCCCTGGCTGCCAGCATCACCAGCCCCTCCGATTGGTTGATCAGCTGTGTCCGGACCAATGGGAGCCCCTCCCTGACTGCCAGCATCACCTGCCCCTTTGATTGGTTGATCAGCTACATCCCTGACCAATGGGACTCCCCTCTTTGGGGCCAGCCTCTCCCATTGGTTTGTCTCCTGTGTCCTGACCAATGGTAGTCCCTCCCCCAACACCAGTTTCTTCCACAGGCTTGTCCTCATCAGGATCTGGTCCCCGTTTGTCTACCAACTGCTCCCCTCCAGTTCCACCAGGGCCACCGTCACCACTTAACTCTTCACCTGAGAGAAGAAGATCATTGGAAAAACAGGATTTTTTCATTATGCTGTTATGTGTTATTTTCTTCACAGACTCATAAACCAAGTAAAACGCCATTAAGTAAGAGAGTAGTCATCTTAGGAACAGGTGGGTAGTACACAAGAAATAAAGTAACTCTGTAACTCTTGAATGTTTTGATATATTTGCACAATGTGCTGTTCAAACATTTCTAGCTCTCTTAAACAGTTCTTTTGTCACAATTACGGTGCAAGAATTTCAAGATCTAGAAAGGTAGGACAGCTGTAAGAAACAACAGGCACAGACTATCACCTTTTGTGTCATCATCATTTATCTCATCAGCCTTGTCACCTTCCTCCTGGTTAGCTGGGAGTTCCTCATTCTCTGTGGCATCGTCAGGATCTTTGTCTGCTTCATCATTCCCTGTCATGTAAAAAAAAAGAAACGAACCTTGAACAGGGACATCTAAGATGTCAACACAGAAGACAGTGGATTCTTTATCTCCACTCGCCTTGTGGTGTTCTGAAGTATAAGAACTGTTTAAGAGAGCTAGAAATGTTTGAACAGCACATTGTGCAAATATATCAAAACATTCAAGAGTTACAGAGTTACTTTATTTCTTGTGTACTACCCACCTGTTCCTAAGATGACTGTGAACTCGTACGATACCTTGGTATGATAAATCTGGTTATTTCTGAACACTAACCCATAAAAGTATCCTGTAAACCAGTCGTTTGCCTTTGAAACAATTTATGAAGCACAATTCGTGAAATATTACAGTAATACTTCTTCATCTGTAAGTGTAACGTTATATTTTAAAATTTTCAAGTAGGTACGTACATTTTTGTACTGGCGGTGGATGACTGTGTTCACCGCCCAGGGGACGAAACACTCCCTTTGGATCCTCTACAACCCTGGCTTTGCAATAATGTTTCTTTTCTTCCCTGCATCGCCAATACAGGGCATTTGTTGGTGATCTGTGGGTGGTTGTGCCTGACCTGGCTGGGAATGAACTGGGTGTGACTGATGGCTGCAGGCTTAAACACGCCGCTGGTGGTTTCTTGCACCTTGGCTTTGCAGGGTCGTGCACTGCACCGCCAGTGCGTACCAGTTGTTTCACATCTGCAACAAAAATATAACATTTGTTAAATACTTCATATGTATAATATATAGCCAGCCTTCTCAAAAAAATTTAGAGTAGGTGGCTGATAAGAAAAAGTAGCAGGCGAGCCACGAAGTGGCTCGAAGCGAGCCGCGCAGCAGCTCGCAGGGGGAGGGTACGAATTTGATTGTATTTTAACTCCTTAGCATTTTTAATCTATTTCATTGTAAATACCTGTCAATTCAGACTTTTTGTCTGCAAGAAGGTGTGTGAATAAAGTTTCATTAAAGTTTCATTACTTCTTTTCCCAGTGGCTTTTACACTAGTTTGTATAGAGCATATGTTTAGCATATTGTAAATTTCTGTTCAACTTCAATAACAAAGATTTGTCGGGAGTATTGTAAGAAAGAGGAGGAGCCAGTAGAAACAGATAACAGATTATTTGTAGCAGGAACTACGTCCAGACATGTGCTTTTCGTGACATTTTAACTCTGCTGTCGGCGCAGAGAAATGGTAACTGTTACGTACCTTTTTGTCCATGACCGCAAATTTGCCCGGACCTTTTTTTGATTCTGAAAAAAAAGTAAACGTACCGTCTAAAATAAGAACGTACCGGGCGGATTTCAAGGCAAAAAAAGATAAACGTACCGGTACGTTTATTCGAGAGGTGAGAGTACATGATGTAGCTCTAACAGACTTTTACAGCAGCTAAGTTAGGCCATGGAGGAGGCTTTTTTACCTCCATGGTTAGGCAAAGAAAATTCCTAACAAATAATAACTAACAATTAAAGTTTAAACCTGTTAGTCTATCCATGCTAGAATTACATAAGTAAACAATACAAAACTTCCTTCCCTCTAATCTGGAGTTAGTAAGTCATTATTTTGCCTACTGTACATTTGTAGGTACTGGTCAGAAATATTTCAACCTAGAGCAAGATAATAGAGTATCCCTGAATGGGTCAAAGATGCCAATGCACTTGTACTGAGTTTATACTAGTAACTTTGAACTTTCATGACAATTCTCCAAAAATCAAGGGACCTCACGGTATAGAAGTGGCCAAATAGCAAGCATTTTGGGGGTGCGGATGCTATACAAATAAACCTATATCCCTTAGCTCCCAACAAGTTCAAGTTGGCATTTGTGTCAATATTTCCTGAGTTTTGAAGACTTCCTTATCTAACTTCCATCTTTCAATGTAACAGGATTAGAAAAATGGGAAGAAATGCAAACCCTGCCCTATAGCAACAACAAGCCGCCACGACAGACTTGTAAAATGCATCACAAACTCACACATTCAGTGAAAATGCTAACAATCTGTATCTGTTTCAACTGTAATTGATGTAGTAACTAAGATTTTTACCATATAGATGAAAATTTTGGCAGTATTTTGCTGAAAACCTGAAGTGGGGGTACGGACGCTACAGGTAGGGGGTACGGATGCTACAGGGGTACCGTACGGACGCTACATTTTGATGTTCATGGTGCTATACTAGACAGAGTGTTTATGACAGCAATGGTTTACATGGTGTTTTGGTATGTGGCAATAGAGACCTTCTAGCCATCATTATCATTAACCTGCAGGATTAACTTAGTACAGAAATCAAGGGGGGGTACGGACGCTAGAGATTTTTTTGGAAAATGACATCCTGGGCTTTGATCTCTACTTTAACAGTACGTCACAAGAATGACGGAATGATTCTGTTCTATTTCTGTACCTTCACACACATCATGCCTTAATTTCAAAAGCCAAATCAACACCTATAGAAGCATATTTTTAAGTGTTACACACTCAGAAATATCCATATAAAATTAGATTGAAAATTTGTAACATGTGGGTAAAAGTGGAATATAGCCTTCATTGAAAAGAGGGATATGACATTCAAATAAAAGTTAAAGATCACAAGTAGACATATGACTGCATGTAGAAAGCAAATAGTTTTTAATTAGGAAGTACAAAATGTCCTTTCAAATCTAATTATTAATCAAATAGAATTAGTAAAAATTCAATGGTCCCCGGTAACGCTCAAAAACGCCCAATTTTGGACCACGTTTTGGTCAATATTTTTTTCCAAATATTATTAACCAATTTTCAAAATTCTTTTTTTGTTGTGTTCCATCTTGCACCAGCTCTTTGGAAATAAAAGTCTAAAACAGTAATAAGTTATGTAGATTTTGCTATCCTCTGGTAACATGCTGGAAAAAAATGGGTACACCTGATTGTGAAATCATCATCTGGCGGCTGCGTTAGAGCAGACGACTGTGATTTCCCTCCAATTAGTCCTGTTCTGGGCGATGTCAGCAAAATATATACGCTTCGGGGAAAGGTCTGAGTGAAATAGCCGCAGATAAAAGCTTCTTGCTTAATGTCAGAGAAATTTTGATAAATCTTTCATGGACATGAAGATCGATGGAGACATTCCTCAACTATTAATACCGATTAATAAGCGTTGTATCTCGGATAAATGCCTGTAACACGCCGGTTTTCCCGGCGCCGGAACGGAACAAATTTTGACCCGTTAGTTACGCCTCCATCCGTTCCGCGCAGTAGAAAATGTCAAGATTTAAGGGGGGCCTTTAAGCAAATAGGGTATCGGAAATTTGATATAAATGGTCCTATATACATTTAGACGTTGTTAGGGGTGAATAATTCGTTGTCCTTGGTTGAAGAAACCTCAAATAACAGATTTTTTTCAAATGACGAAACACGAAGAACAAGATGGCGTCGTCAAGGCGGCCATGTGCTATGTGCTCCATCTTGGGAATGTTTGGTGCTTTTAAGTTCTAGAAAGAATTTGTCGAAAATACTGGCAGAAAAAGCCGTAACTAAGTACTCGACGCAACCAGAGGAAGCCTTGGGCATTTAGAAAGCCATTTTAGTTTGTCAAAATGTAATAACAAAGAGCAGGTTGTCAGGCAGAATTGTCGCTAAAAGTAAAACTTACCGGAGAGCAGGAGATGACTCGTTGACTGCCTTTGGCGGCTGGTCGGTATGTCTATTTAAAGATGGCGGCCAATTACGTCATGCTACCTCCCATCATCCTTTTCGAAGGTGGAAAGTTTTTTTTTTTTGCGAACGTGGAAAGTTCGTCGCGGATATTTCACTCCAAACGAGCATTTTATTTGTTTCCAAACGCTGTTAATGTGTTTTTACTCCGTATCAACGTCTAATGTCACGACTTTCACACTTCCCATAAGGCCATGTTGATTTGATTATATGGATGACATCCTCCGGGAACCGCAGAACTGATGCGCGCGAGCGAATAAAAAAAAGTTTTGCAAAAAAAAAGGTGCTTTCATTATGAAATCTACGTGGTTATGAAAGTTGAACAAATGACATAGAATATGGTATAGCGAATAATCTACTCTTCAAATTCATTTCTTGACACTGTTGTCTTTTTTCGTTTGATTTTGGCAATCTACGACATTGGTATCATTTTTAATAATTTTTTTGGCAACTTACGGTGTATTTTTGCTCATTTTGTAACTGTTTTGTACGATTTACAGTACTATGGTTGAAAACTTTTTTTGGAAACGGCCGATAATTCATGCGCGCGAGGATGTCATCCATATAATCAAATCAACATGGCCTAATGCCTAGTAAAGTCACGGATATTGACGTCATAAGCGGATATACGTAATGCGGCCGTGCGATTTTACGACAGTTTCTCTCTTGGCGCCCAAAGGAAACCAGAGTAGGAAAGCCTTTTCGGTAGATGCAAGGAGCTTCTAAAGAAGGACGAACGATAGAAGGTACGTCATTTTCTCTAATTCCAACAAAAATACAATTATGGCATGTGCTTTATACTAGATAAGGAACTCAAAACAATTATACTTGACCAGTTTGTCGATCAAAACTTGTTGGGGGAAGGGGGAGGGGGGCGTGGCAGAAGAATCAAGTCAAGGTTTAATTTGTGCAAAACGACTAGCAGGTACAAATTATGTAACAGTTATGGCATAAAATAAGATTACTAGCTGGTATGAGATTATCAGAATTCTGCATATAGGTATAACAGGCATCATGTCTGATAGAATGTTGAATAATATATAGTGCACCCCTACACGTACATTCTGTTGTGTTTTATTTATTTCAGACCCAAAATTTGCACTTTAGTTATTCATATGAACCTCATGTCACCAGCTTCATTTTGATGTCATTCATTTACTGTTTTACCCTTAAATGCATGAACTCCTTAGCAACACAGAAATCATATAACATTAACAAGTTATGTATGTTGCTTGTAAATTATAGAACAAAATTATATACTATTTCTAGGTCAATGAACCCAATAAAAGT